TGCCTGTAGCACACCTCAGGTCTACACACAACATGACTGCTTGTAGTGCACAGGCATTTGCTTCACTATGTGCATTAATCCTGCTCTCAGCAAGGTTAACCACCATGTTGTCCTCCATGTATCAACCCTCACTGATGTAGTGCTAATGTAGACAGCAAGTGTTGCCATTCCAGCTGCATGTTTGGTCGTCCCAGTGCAATCCCAGAATGGTTTGGCAGCTGTCTATAATGTAAGAGATATAATCTCCCAACATCCCAAAGGAAATATGACCAAATCTAAAGGAATAAACAGTCTCCTAGAAAATCTTCACAATCAGGAGTGATCAGCACATAAGAAAGTTGAGGCCTGTGTCTCCATAGACCTGTGCCACCACTTGGCTTCCTTCTTGTCTACACCATCAGCTTAATTACTTTGAAAGTACTGTTGAATTTCAAAAATGCTTAGTCGGGAAAGAAAAAAAAGCTACTATTAATGGACAGATGGTCAATGGCAAAAATCTCTCTCCCTCTCCCTGATTAGTTTCCTAGTTCACAGGCAGAGCAGTGATTAAATAAGTAAGCATAACGTTACTTTGAGTTCGTTTTAAACAAAGAAAATACTGTCCAAAGGGTGATGATGGCCTTGCCTCCCATGCTCAAAAATGGACTGCTAGAAAACTCATTGGTAAAAAAGCTGCATTGAATACAAATGCTTATCTCTAGAAAAATAGTCAAACATTTGGCAATGTTATAGATTGGGTTCAAACCCCTTTAAAATGGATGAGTTTAACAAACACCATTCAGGTTAAAAGTAAGAAAAAAATAGCAGGCTCCAAGACAAAGGAACACCTATGGCCACTCAGGAACTCTAATGATTCAGGCAGAGAGGTTTTCCCTGAGTAAGTTTCCACTGGAGGTGTATGTTTAGGTGGGTGGGACAGACAGTACCAGGAGAGAGAAGGAAGAGAGTCAGAAGCAGACACAGCCTGCAAGAACAGTAATGTGGCCCTGAAATAAAGCGGAGAGAAAGATTTCTGGGGGGGGGTAGCGTGTTGTTTGTAAAGGTAGGCTTGGAACAGTGAACAAAAGAGCCATCTCCTGCTATTTGGGGATTCCTACTATGTTCAGAGAAACAGGAATTTGTACAGTCTTTGTACATAAACAAGATTGCACCAAAAAAATAAATACATAAAATTTAAAAAAAAAGCCAGGCTCCATCATCAATTTCTGCTCCTCACTGGAGCACCTGCAGAGCCCCGAACTTTGACTAACTACTCAAGTCAAAAGTGATAACAGTAAAGAGATACCAAGAATTATTTGGGTAGGTCTAGACAGATATGTAGGTGCTTGGGGACAGGGATCTGGAGGTACAGAGGGGAATCCTGTAGTACCTGGAGGTGCAGGAGAGGCCAGGAGGAGATGTAGAGGATGGGAAATGGGTCATAAAAGAGAATTGTAATTTGTGTGGAAAACAGAGGGAGGGTAAGACCTGTCTATAGACATGAAATACAGAGATCAGGAGGGACCACAGTTGTTAAAGGGCTGTTAGAAGAGAGATCAAGTTAGGAGTGTGGATTCCTGCTGGCCCTCTTACAATGGCTCTATTGGTCTAAAGGGGCCATAAAGCCAGCTGAACTGGCAACCTAGGATTTTTCTCAGCATAGGGAGATTCCTGTATTAATCACAAAGGGTGGATCATTGTGTAGAGTCAATTGCTGGGTAAAAGCCTGACACTATATATTTATTTTGCTTCTTCAGCAATGAGTTTATTTTTTTAAATTCTGTTTAAATGCAAAATATTTTTGGATAGCAAAATGAATGGTGGAAAATGCAGCAAAACATTCGACACAGAAGAAAAAGACACGAAGGGCTATGAATACAATTATGTCTACAACAGGATTTGAACTCACTGCTTTTACTAGCAGACACTGAGCCAGTTCCTGATCCTATTGAAGCCAACGTTAAACCTCCTAGTTGGCAAGATGGAGATGCCTGCGTGAAGTAAAGGGGTTGGAATGGCTCTAGGCCACACCTATTCTTGGCTCCTTGTGCAAGCAGCATGTCAGAGCCTGGTGGTGAAGAGGCTGGAGGGCAAGTGACGAGTATTAAGATATCAGCCTCTGAGTATTGTGCACAACATAATAAATGACAGTTTCAACAACATTGTTATTGGTATTTATACTATACAACTGACATATCAGTACATAACATATTGATGTTCACATTTCTGATTACAAATTAATAGCTTTATTTATCAAACCTTGTACTAGAAGCGAATTCTTCTGTGATGGGTGGCACTTACTTCTTGAGCACCTCCTTGTGGCTGGGTGCTGTACTGCAGTCCTTTTCCCACTCCTGGGGTCCCCGATAGATTGCTAACCGACCTTGGTGAGTTCTTCAGTGGTTTGGCCCTCCAGTCAAATCACAAAGTTCCCAGGCACCCCTTCTGGGACATTAAAGAGTCCAATAAATGGACAGAATATTTGCCCTCGCTTGGGTCTTCAGCCCCAGCTCTGGGCCCTTTAAATTCAGCCCTTTGGTTGGGTTGTCAACTAAGCCCTGTCCCCTCCCTGGGGTTTATGACACTTCACCTGGGGGTAGCACTGGAACCCAGACCCTCCCACTACTCCAGATACCAAACTAAGGGCCCTATACACAGCAGCCACGTACTTCTTACTCCAATTCATTGTTGCTCCTTTCCTGGGCCTCTCCCTACCAGACCACTTTTACCTCCAGACCTATGTCAGTGCAAGGATCATCAGGTTCTTTTCTACCTCCAGGCCACAGAGGAGCCCCTTTCTTCTCTCCTCTGGTCCCAGAAGAAACAGATCTGCTAACTTCCCCCGCAGCTCCTTTTATCTGAGCCTGCTGGGCTCTGATTGGCTGCTTCTGTGAGGCCTCTCTAGGCAGGGCTGGAGCACCCTCTTTTGATGCTCCTTTCCTATCACTTCACTGCTTCCTGGGGCGGGGGAAGTGGAACGGCGGGACATCCTGTAGGGAGCTGCAAAGGCCAGGTGCACCCCACCACAATTTCCCACATAAACCATTGGTAAAGCTCTAATCAGCTTCTAATCAGACCCCTTATTCCTTTAAGGAGAGTCAGGAAAGGGGTGCACATAGCCTTCCCCAAAAGTACCAAAACATGAGGATATCACTGAGCCTGATCATATGAACAGGAATGTGAAATAGAATGTAAACAACGCTGCCTTTATTGCCACAAATACTAGAAAAAAAGAAACAAGATAGATGCAACATTCAAGAAATTTGACATGTCAGACTTCAGTACTGTACACTCTAGTCATCTTGAACAGAACTCTGATATGTGCAAATCTCTCAAGCCTCCTGGGCTTCTTAAAATTCCACACTTAAAATACAATATAGGCTTTATATACAATTATCCCTTACATTAAACCTACTTGTGTGCAGATCGTGTCGTAAAGCGGGCTTGCATTTAAGTAACTGGTTATATAGCAACAGAAAATATTTTAGTTTTATGTTGTGCCATTTATAATCAAAATCTTTCAAACCACATTACAAATATGTGAAATATTAATGAGTATGCTTACCCAGAACTGCTATTTTCCTATCCACATAGTCGCTAACCTTACAGCTGATCAGATAACAAGGAATAAATTGCATAGATGTTTGCAAGATTGGGACAAACTAGAACCACACTGCTGACTAGCAAGTTCCAGCACTTTCACTATAAATGAGATTGTACAGTTATCTTTTGGAAGTGCTGGCAACAGGTGCATATTAATTTAACAACAGTATTGTGGGGTTTTAATCTATGTGGGCTTGCAGTAGAAGACCCTGATTGTGCAAAGACTTTAGTGCATGTCCAGTGCCTAAAATTAAGCATGTCTTTGACGGATCAAGGCCCAACATATAAAGAAGCACAACTAGAGTAACTGTATTTAAAACTATAGCAATAAAATAACATTGCCCTTCTATAGCATCTTTCATCTGTGGATTTCAAAGCACTTTACAAACATGAAGCCTCACAATATTCCTGTGAGGTAGGGAAGGATTATTATTTCAATTTTACAGATTGGAAAACTAAGGCATGGAAAGGTTAATGCATTTACGGAGGGGACAGTGTGGACATGGAAACAGAACTAAGAAATTTCTGAAAGTTAAACGTACCATAAATGGACATAGGGACCTTGCCCAGGGCAACAGGCACATCGTGGGCCAAATGCGGACCACCAAATGCTTTTGAACAGACCCCAAAATCTTTTTATTTACTTATTATCATTGGGTTTGTTCCCCTCTCCCGCCCGCCGGGGAGTCTGGACCTTGACTATACCTTAACCAAGAAACTGGGACCTTGACAAAAAATAATTGACTACCCTGACCCAGTGTATGTATATAAATCAGGGTTGCACAAGTGTGCAGTTAAACATGCACACATACCCACAATGCATGTGAGGGCATCAGGAGTTTAAGGTTTGGGGCTGTAGGGACTAATTACCCTAAACAGAGCCTGTGACACATAATAGGAGCACAGCGTGGAAAATAGCAGAATAGGCTAGACACCACTGGCCTGACACCTTCACTACAGCCCCCCAGGATAGGAGCCTCCGCGGGCTCCCGCTCCCGCACTGCAGGAGGTCCAGGCTGTAACCCTTTGCAGCCCGTCGGGCGGGTGCTGAGAGCAGGTAGCCCGCACAGGGCACGCGAAATGGTTCTGACCCTAGTCAAGAGCCAGCAGCATGCTGACCAACGGCGCGCGGCAGAGGCCCCGCGGGAGAGTCCCCGGGTGTAGCTAGCGCGCGCGCGCGCGGGGCGGGGGGACTGGTACCAAGCGGGGCTTGGACCCGCTGCAGAGCAGAGGCGGCGGCGACAGCCCGCGCAGGCCCCGAGTCCCGAGCCAGGAATGCGAACAACGCGCGCGGCCAGCCCCCGTTCAGTGCCGCTGCGCCGCCCGTCGGCCACGGGTGCCCGCGCACGCGCACTGCGTGCCCGGCGAGTCAGCAGCCAGCCTGGTTGTCTCGAAAGCGGGAGGGAGGGAGGGAGAGATGCAGCTCCCCGGAGCACAGGGGTGACCGCCCGACGCCGGCTTTCCCGGGGGAGGTGCGGTTCCTCCCTACGCGGGGCTTGCATGCTCCGGCGGGAAAGCCCAGCTCCTCGTCGGGGTTGTCGGTCTAAGCTGGCTTTGCCCGGCCCCGGAGCAGAGTGCAGGTATTTCTGGCGAGCTGTTATCGCTTACAAGGGACTTCAGAGAATGACCTGAGCCAACCTCCGAAGGATCGGCATTGCACGGGGGCAGCGGTGGTAGCAGCCATACAAAGGTACCGTTCGATTTCTGTATATTAGCTCCCCCCTCTGTATATTTCAGCAATATAAACCCGAGAGTCTTGAGCAACAGTTATTCCGCGTTTTGCATAATCTTAAAAAATGACAGTGTAACAACGTGTTACAGTCTATTCTGGGTTTAGATTCGGTCAGGGTCAAACACGTCTTTGCTACTGTACTCACGGCTCTGTGTTCAGCTGCATAGCGAGTAGGCCAGTGGGCATGAAAGTGGCTGTTTAAAATAGACTATTTTTGTGCTCCTATTAGCTGTTCGGCATCCTGGAGGTGGGCTGGCCAGCCTAAGGGTTAGTAGAGCTGGCTTGGAAGAGGGCTGGCCTGCTTTAGTAGGATTACCTGGAATAACCTCCCCCCCGGTGCATTTCTATCCATTGATGAACTGAACGTGCAACTCTGATTTCCTCAGGCTTGGAGGAAATGTTCTGAATGGACGATGAAATGAAGCATTTCTGCCTGCAAGGGGAAGTTGTATGAGAAGAATTTGCTGTAGCGAAGCAGCAGCACCCCGCTGGGCTCCTGGCTCCAGCTACTATGGCCCAATCCAGGGTCTGGAATAGCATCAAATCCATGCTGAGAAAGAACGATGACCCCTTGTTCTTGAACGACTCCAGTGCCTTTGATTTTTCAGATGAAGTGGGGGAGGAGGACTTCCCCCGGTTTAACAAGTTGCGAGTTGTGGTTTCTGATGACACTTCGGATGCAGCTCCGGACAGACCTGTCAATGGGGCTCACCTAGGTCTGCAGTCCGATGACGACTCCTTGCTGGACCGGGATATTGCTCTGCGGAGCACACAGACTAGCTCCCCCAGGACGGACCCTTGTAGCAATTGCAGTAAACAGAGGGAACTATCAAAACAGAGGAAGGTGAAAAAACAGCTGATCCTGGCTGCCGTTCTCTATCTCTTCTTTATGATTGGAGAGCTCATAGGTGAGTTGGGCTTGTTTTCTTACTCTGTCAAGGGTTAATGGAAAAACGCCTCGGTGCTTTTTAGGACTTTTTTTTTTATTACACAGTTGTCCTTTAATTATTTACTAAAGGAGACAGTATATCAGTTACTGAGACGCACAGATTTCAGCAAGTCCAGAGAGTGCCCACAGTAAAGAAAGTCAGCATGCAATTAGCATCTAAGGAAAGAAAGAGTTTAAAGGGACACTGCCAACATTAACTCTTCCCTGGCTGATGTTTATAAGGATCTTAACAACAAGGAAGAAACTGACTATTTGAAATTAACAATTAAATTGTCCATATGCTGTTAAATGAGGAAAAATACAGATTCCCCCCTCCCCTCAACTTGTTTCAATTATTGCCATCTTTTTACTTGTAATTATAGTAGATGCAACATTTTCAGACAAATGTAATTTTTTCAAGTTAATGGTTCTCTTTAATAGCAGAATACCAGTGTCTGTATAAGATTTTAGGGCCTTCAAACCTTGTTATTTATGTTCTTAGTCCCCAAATACAGGAATATAATTTAGTTCTACCACTGAAAGGGGAAAAACTCCTCATGAAACTGAGTTATAGATAAAGATCAATCACTTACAGCTTCCTGTTTTGCTTCTCCCTACTGGACTAACAATATCTATACTAGTCTAGCTATTTCTGTATCTTAAACCAGAGGTTCTCAACAAAAGTTTTGGTGGCCTTAGTATGCGACTACCAACTCTTGCTGGTGGCCGCGCTGACTATTTTTCCTAAAATACTTAATTAACTTTAGGAAAAAAAATAAATATGCACATACACACATCTAAATCATTGTAATTTATTTATGTAGGTTTTTTCCAGAGTCAGTAATAAAAATAATTTACAGTTGTCTCTATTCTTTACTGGGCCTAAACAGAATAGAAACACAAATAAGATGATTTGCATGTTCTTGTCTTGTTGTTGTTTCTTTTACTTTTTTGGTTGCACTTTTTTTTTCTTCTAAGACTTGCTAGCTGGTAAATCTTCTGCTGTGTAAAGTGATATTTGTCTGTTTATTAATATCACTTTTCACAGCAGCCTTACTCAGCCCCAGCAAGCTCTGGGACAAATTAAGCCCTGGATGGGGAGGTGGACAGGGAGGCAGCAGGGCCCAGGGATGATGGCGGGGCTAGTGAGTCTGGGGCTGGTGAGCCTGGGGCCGGAGCCTGAAACCAGAACCTGCCACTACATGGACGGAGCCCGCAGCCCTGTGGCCAAAGCCTGCCCCCTCAACCCCAGGGAATGTGGGGAATTCACCAGCTGCCTGCACCTCCAGCATTTGTGTCTCTGGAGGGGGCCTTGGGAGAGGGACCACTGCTTTGCATGCCCCCCTTTCCCCCCCAGCCCAGGAGGCTGTGGCCGCAAGAAAAGGCCCTGGTGGCTGAATGCGGCCACTGTGGCTGCATTTGAGAAACACTGTCATAATAAGCAACATGAAAGTGTCTATAGTATATTGCTTAAAAGCAACAAATGATTTTGAGCTACTCTGATCATATGATTTACTGAAAATTCCAGTATATTGTTAATAGTTGGGAGAAACCATTTTGATTTTTCACTACAAAATTACTCCTGTTATGGATTCATTCAAAACAGTAACAAACCCATTTTCCAAGTTCAATTTTTATTTATCTCTGACAAGCTTTTTTGATATCAAAGCATGTTATCTCCTGCAGTTCAGGTTCAAGAGAAACCAAAACAGCATGATACAGCAATCTGTAAATCTAGAAACACATGGCTGTATATTACAGTGGAGCAGCAGCTCCAGTATAGTTAAGGTTAAGGCCAGCTTTCTGTTTAAAGCTTGACTATTCTAAGTGCTCTAATATCTGGACAGTTACTTGGATTCACTTACAGTGAAAAGACACAGTGCAAGTAAGAGACAGGTGCTGCCTGCACCTGCCCAGTGCTCAAACACTGAGCCTGTTCCCCCAACAGAATACCACACAATTCTATATTGAAATGATGCAGACTGGAACCTCAAGGTACACATGCACCTCCTTCCATTGATAACATACATGGGGTGATTCAGACCCAGATCTCTGAATATCACAGTCACAGGTCTATGACACTCCTCCAACTAATCGCCAGATCTCCTCGTATCACAAACACACCTCTACCAACCTGCTCCACCTGCTGCCTCCACCATTCACTACAGCTACACCTACAACTCTGAAAGAAACTAGAATGCATGCAGATAATTCCCAATGACTATTGCCAGCTCCAGGCAGAGTTAAGGTTGTGTGGGCATCTACCTCAATTCTGTATTTCCTGGTTTTCAGAAGTCTGAGTTTTGCTGAACTTGAGATTTTGGAAGGGCACGAGCTATCATTAGGCATCTTTAACTCTGCATTAATGAAGTGTTTTTTTGCCATTTATTCTTGGAGAGCTTATTGTGATATAACTATGAAAGAAACTCTAAAGTTGAGTCACATGGCTGTAGACACAAAGCTATTAAAAACGACATCACCAATATTTAATCATTATTAAGAAGCATAGTATTTACCTTCTAATCACTATTCACTTTTCATTTAAATAGCACAATGTACTACCATGTCTTTTGGAGTTGTTCATGCCATTTAAGTGCCTACTTGGTGCCACTTAAACTCTTGAAGAACACAAAGTATTTCTGCCATCCACTTCCCCCTGACTTGTTCTATTGCCACTTTGTTTTCAAAAGTGGAGAATGTTATGATGTCAGTGCATCAATGTATCTATCAGTCATTAGACTTTCAGATGCACTGAACTGGGTTTTTACTTGTGACCACACAACTTCTTATAAATACTACTTCGTAAATATTGTAATTTCAATACACAACTGTAAATCTGGAAGCATGAATTAGTTATAATTTAAATTCACTAGTAAAAGGGAAAGTTAAAAACTTTTGAAAGTACAGAAACTGATGGCTCAAGGGACAGGTAATAAATAGTATAGCGCAGTGGTTCTCAAACTTTTGTACTGGTGATCCCTTTCACATAGCAAGCCTCTGAGTGCAACCCCCCTTATAAATTAAAAACACATATTTAACACCATTATAAATCCTGGAGGCAAAGTGGGGTTTGGGGTGGAGGCTGACAGCTGGCAACCCCCCATGTAATAATCTTGTGACCCCCTGAGGGGTCGTGACCCCCAGTTTGAGAACCCCAGTATAGAGAACTTGCTGCCATTTGTTCACCATTCAAATTCATTTCAGTACTGACAAAGTCTGCTGGCTGTTCAATGGCCTCTGTGAAATGAATTAGTGGTCTCAGGAAAGTTGTTCACATCATTAAACTCGCTTCCTTCTCATCCCGTGAGGTGGTCTCCCAGGGGAGGTTTGTGTTACATTGGGGAGCCAGAAGTTAGTACAAGATGGGCAGTGGCATTACCTGAACTATGGATAAATAAAGGGCTTCATTCCTGACAATCTGGCACCTGTCAAGAGTACTAAATTCATTATTAAAAAAAAAAAAATTTGGAAACTGCTGTGCCATTTTTTCCGTGATCAGCATAGCCATGGCTTTCAGGAGCATTTTATCTGTATCCTGAACTTTTAGCTAAAACAGAGGTCCCGAAAGTGTAGGGTGCCCCCCCGTAGAGGCATGCAGAGGAACACAGGGAGGGCGCAGCAGGGCCAGGCCAGTACCCATGGGGAGCAGGAAGGGAGCATAACCCAGCTCCTCCCCACCCCCTGCTCTGCTCCAGTCCTGCCCCTAGCCACGTCCCCAGCTTCCGGCCTTGCACCTGACCCTGTCCCCAGGCTCAGTGTAGATCCACGCCTGGCCCCTGCCCCAGTCTTGGCACCTGGCTGTGGCTCTGTTCCCAGCCCAGGGACAAGACTAAGGGGAAGGACTGGGATGAGAGTGGAGTTGCAGCTGGCCATGGGCCCGGCTGCTGGCCCCCACCACAGCCCAGCTGCAGCTCCGCTTCTGCCCTCACCCTCAACCTCGGACCTTGGCTCGGACCCACTCCCGGCCCGAGACCTACCCACAGATGCGGCCCCAGTCTGTGTCCCCTATCCCCAGCCATGGCCCCACTCTGGGCCCCAGCTCTGGGGGTGGCAGGGGAGGCACTCAGGTGTAAGAGGGGTGCAACCCTCAAAAGTTTGAGGATCACTGAGCTAAAAACAACATTTTAAAAGCAGGAAGATTAAACTTTCCTTGATTTAGCTTTTTAAAAATAAAAGTGTAGAAGATGGTGGTGGTAAAGCAGCTTCATTTTATACAGTGGAAATTGTAATTAATGTGCCATAACAACTACCTTTTGTTGACCTTATACCTTTGAATAATGACTTTATCTGCACTACATCTGTGGTGTATTTGACAACGCCATTGTTCAAACCAAAAAAATATATATACTTTACCAAGCCTCTCAGGGAAAAACTAGGAGAAAGTCCATTTGTCAGACATACTCTAGATAATTGACATTTGTTATCTACTCCACCTAGTTTAATTAGAGGCCTTATCTCAGGAGCACATGGTAATGGCAAGCAGTGACCTTGCCCTTTAGCTTCTGCTTCAATGGTTAGTCATTGATAAGACTGCCACAATCCATGAACTAATTATGGATGAAGCTCTTAACTTTGAACATATACCTCTACCCCGATATAACGCGACCCGATTTAACACAAATTCTGATATAACACGGTAAAGCAGTGCTCGGAGGGGGGGGGCAGGGCTGCGCACTCCGGCGGATCAAAGCAAGTTCGATATAACGCGGTTTCACCTATAACGTGGTAAGATGTTTTGGCTCCCGAGGACAGCATTATATTGAGGTGGAGGTGTATTAGAAAGACCTGGTTGAATGACAACCTGCCCTGTCAGTTGGTTCTGCTTTTTCTGACTGTGTTTGTGGTTCGGCATGGTTGAAAGGTGAATTTGGCAGAGTCTGATCTCAGGTGTAGAAAATCCCTCATCACAAGGACAGATTGATGTAGTATGAGACTCCCGGGATAAAATGAATTTGGGAATTTTGGCTATGTACCAATCTCACTACTCAATGGAATTCCTGGCTGAGCTTGTTGAGCCTGCTACTGGAGTCACTGACTGACACCCAGATCCTCAAAGGCATTTAGATGCCCAGCTCCCATTGATTTAACCTTTGAGGATCTGAGTTTGAAATTTCTTCATGGGGGTGACTTCAGTATCATTCACCATGCCTCTTGTGGATTTGTTTGAGACTTCCTGGCTTCTAAGTGGTGTCTGACTCAGCTTATGCTCATGTGTACACCACACATCTGATTTAGAGACAGAACTGGAAATAGGGTGGATTTAAAATAAAACTACACCTTAATCATGATCAGATCATCATTGCTTTTTGCTTGAGATCAGCACTTTTCTAAGCTCTGTCAAGGTGGTGGATCTTTCCAACTAAGGTACTTATATGGCCCCCATCTTCATAGTAGCTGAGTACCTCACAATCTTTTGATTTATTTATCCTCACCTCCCTTGTGGGAAGTATTATCCCCATTTTATAGATGGTGCACTGAGGCATAGAGACACTAAGTGACTTTCCCAAAGACCCCAGAAGTCTGTGGCAGAGCAGGAAATTTAACCTGGATCTCCCAAGTTCCAGGCTAGTCCCCTGAACAATGGACCTAATTACCTTAACCAAACTTCCTCTCCTGATCTGTTTCTGTGGCCCATCCTCTGGGCCTCAAGTTTCAGAATATTCTGAGGAAATTTAGTGCTCAGTCATCTGGGGAGCTTTGCATTTGATCCTATAGGGTATTATAACTCTCTGTTTTCTGTGACCTTTGACACACTGGGATTGTGATCAGATTTGCCTTTGCAGCACCCCCTTGTGGCCCATCAGGGCACGACTCACCCAGCTGCATGTCTCTGTAGGTAGGTTCACGCTCTTTTGCAGGGGTTGATGTAGCAGTGCGTTAGCCATCTGGCCAAGGCACACATCAGTCCTTTTGGGATGTTAAGGTCCAAACAAAGTCAGGAAAAACCACAACTCAAAACCAGGCTCATCCAGTGAACCTTCAGCGGGATCTCACCCATATGTTTAGAGCTCATCTTCAAACAGTCAGAATTCCAGGCAGTCTCCCAAGGTCTGGTTGTTCCTTCTGCCAGGAGGCTCAACAAACCAGCAAGCTATCTCAGGCTATGTCTACACTACAGCTTATGTTGGCATAATTTATGTGGCTCAGGGTGTTACACCAACATAAGCGCTGGTGTGGACGGTGCTATGTCAGCGGAAGAGCTTCTCCCGCCAACATAGCTTCTGCTGCTCGCGGGGGCTGGAGTAGTTAAGCTGACAGGAGAGCTCTCTCCCATCGGCGTAGAGCAGCTACATTACAGCCTCAGAGGAATTTGTCTGATAAAGTGATGAGCAACCAGTGTGGGAGGGAAGCTAGATTGGAAGTTGGATCTCCAACTTAAGTATATAATGATCAATACCACCACCAACTATAATGTACGCTATCTGTGCGTCCGTGTATTTGTAGATAAGTATAGATTTTTGTTGTTTTTGTTGCTCAGGCAATCAACCAATTTGTAAGCTTTCCTTTGCTATACCTGGCCCCTAATGGTCTGTCCAATAGGATCCTCGGGTTTTCCTGTAATGCAAATTTTTAATATTACACGAAGACCAGGCAGTGAGAAATGATGGACACAAACAAGCTCGTATCTGAGATATTTCATTTCTAAAACTGGAGATTCAGGCCTGCAAGGGGGCATTTTATATTTGGTGGAAGCTGCAGGTTCAAGGACAATTTCAGGCTGCTCCCAGAGCAGTGGGGAAACCTGACCCATTGTTGAACTGACACTGAAGATGTAGTCTCTTTTGAGTGCCTGTGCAGAACTCCCATTAGCATTGTGTATGAAAGGAAGACTACATCTTTATGAGGTTAACCCCTTCCATGCATCTATTACAGATATTGACATCTGCTTCAGGGCAAATTGATCATTTTGACCTTCTCATCTGAGGAAATTTATCTCAGCACAGCCCACAGTTATGAGAAGGGGGTTAAATTACATAGAAATGGAAAGAAATATTTCAGAATGAAGGGGTTGGCAATGGCTGCTGAGACAGGGAACAATGAGGCTTAAGATTTAATGTTAAAAAAAGGAGGACAGGCTGAATTTCTTTGCCATTTAGTCATTGGAGCTCTGCCCATGTTTCAAAATGTCAAAAAACTTTGCAGTCTTGGCTTAATAAATTAATCAGCTGATTAAACACACACAAAATAACAAAGAAAAGACACTAAGCTACTTTAGGCCTGATCCTGCAGAACCTTATTCAAGCAAGTGGTCTCACTGACTTCAGTGAGACCACTTGCGTGAGTAAAGCTTGGAGGACTGAGCTTTTTCCACTTACCTAATCGGTTTAAATATTTATACTGTATTTATCACCATGGTAGCTTTAAAAAATAGCATGGCACATTGATTGCAATGGGAAAAACCACCAGCTCCATTACCACACTTCATTACTTGCTCAATGCACCATTCTGAATACACTTTGTTGTAAACTACACCCAAAGGATGTTTTGCAGAGTGGTTCATATCACATGCCCTAACGTTTCCAATTCCATTTCAGGTGGATATGTTGCTAATAGTCTAGCAATCATGATGGATGCACTTCATATGCTAACTGACCTCAGTGGTATTCTTTTGACTCTGCTTGCTTTGTGGCTGTCTGCAAAATCTCCCACAAAAAAGTTCACCTTTGGATTTCACCGCTTAGGTACGTAGCTGCCAGAGTTTACTGTTATAGCAGTGTTGTAAATGATAACTATGAGGAAAGTTTGACTGCAGAGCTGTAGTGTAGAGCATTAAATAACTATCAGAAATGAGGTTATGTAAATCTCGAAATTTTAGGGGCCTGATTCTTATTTACACGAAGGGCCCTTTACAATGCTCTGTCCATAGCAGGCGGCAGAGAGATGGCTGTGCTGGTTTTATGACACCTGGGAATTTCCCTAGGCAGAGTGGCACAAAAGTGACCGACGGGGCCCATGATTTGACTTGGTCCCCCCAGCCCAAGGTTGTGTTACATTGGTAGCCCTTCCTGGGAGAGGTTCCACTGCTCCTACCTGTGCTGTAGCTATTTGTAGGTTCAAATAGGAGACTACGTTGTCCTTGGCTGTCAGACCGTAATCTTTCATGAGAACTAACATCACTGAAAAGTTTAATAAAATACCCAAAGTGGCAGGCATGTCTTTTTTTCCCTTTCTTTATTACTTTGCTGTGCATTCAGATGAGTGATGTGGAGAAGGCTCTATTTCTGTTGGTAGTATTTTTTTAATAACTGTGCATTAGAGGCCTATTTAGGAAACTCATGCCACAGTGATTATTTCATGTTAAATTATGTAGGAAAAGTACAGCCTTTTCCTTGCAAATAACTCAGCATAGTGATTCATCATCACCCGAATAAGAATCTTCCAGTCTAAAGACTTGTCTACAGAGAGTATGTTGAACATATATGGCTACAGAAATAGCAGCATTGATGTATAAAGCCTTCAGTTAGGTCTTCACTTCAAAGAATGTATTCTTAACATGGGGTAACTAACCCCAGTTAGCTGACTTAGGGTAAAATTGCAGCAAAGACAAGGCAATTTTTAACTTGGGTGAGCAGCTCAAGTTAAAGCCTGTAGGGGAGCCTAGAGTTGAATTTGAGATGCTAACACAAGTTAAAAGCCGAGTTGTTATGTCTTGGCTACTATTCGAATCTGGGCTAGCTAACCCAGCTTAAGAATGCTTTCCCCCCCCCCAGTGATCAGGTAACCTTGGTGGAGACACACTGCACTTGCAGGGATGCTATTAACTCCAGACTGAAACTCAGGTAGACTAAGGCCTGGTCTACACTGGGGGGGGAGGATCGATCTAAGTTACGCAACTTCAGCTATGTGAATAACGTAGCTGAAGTCAGCGTACTTAGATCTACCGTGGTGTCTTCACTGCGGTAAGTTGATAGCTGACGCTCTCCCGTCGACTCCGCCTGCGCCTCTTGCCCTGGTGGAGTCCTGGAGTTGATGGGAGAGTGCTCAGCGGTCAATTTATCGCATCTAGACTAGATGCAATAAATCGACCCCCGCTGGATTGATCGCTGCCCGTTGATCCAGTAAAGGATTAAAGGAAAATCCAGAAGGATTTAACATCACTTCTCTTTTAATCCCAACCTGGTTTCCCTGGAACTTGATGGCAAAACCCTGTTTACGTAAGTGGGAACAGAATCTATGTGGAAATGGAATCTGGCAAATTCAGAGTTAAGTTTTTAGTGCTTGACTTAGCTCTTAGGAATGAAAGTTTATTTGGCTTTCTGTCAAGTTGGTTCTGATGAGTGGGTGATTTTACAGATTGTATTCTAAATGCTGCTTGTTGCTCCCAGGACATGGGCCTTGCCTAAGGAATCTAACAAGGGTAGGACAGGAAATTTCTCCTACAAGCCAGTGACAAGGCTCAGAGTGGATGTGCAGCCACTCCATGGTCCATAGCAATAGTGGCTGTCCAAGCAATTAGGACCCCTGTGCACCCCTCAGTTTTGAAAGATTAAGTTTAAGATGACGAAGTCTATTGATTCAAATAGACTACTCCGCTGGCCCATCACAACCCCTATCATTATATCAATGTTATCTGTATTGCAGAAGCACCTGGAGGAGCCCCATGTGCTTCGTGTGGTACATACACACAATGTGGTAACAGGCAATCACTGTCCCAAAATGCTTACAATCAGTGGGCCAGACTTACTTATGCTGAGTAGTACTGTGATGGGACGAGACTCACCGGCACAGCTCCTCCTGCTGGTTGTCCAGGGAATTAGCTCTTTTCCAGCGCCGTAGCGCCCTCTGCCAGCTGATGTCTCACCTGCCGCTGGCCCCCATGTCCCTCCCAGACCCCGGTGCCCTTTGCCCAGGGGTTCTGCCCACCGCAGCAACCCACAATCTGGGTCTCCCCACCCAGGGGAACCCTAACCCCCACCTTGCCTCAGTGGCTACTGCCAGTCACCATCTAGCCCCTGCTCACTGGGGCGGACTGCAGTCTGTAAACCACTCATCATTGGCAAGGGGGGTTGGACCAGCTGCCTCTGCCTATTCCTGGGCCACCCCTCTGCAGCCCTAGTACCCTTGTGGGCCCTTAACTCAGCCTGCAGCCTGGGGCTTAGGTAGGCTGGAGCTCCCCAGCTCCCTCTGCCCTTCCCCAGTGCTGCGCCACCCTCCTCAGCTTCCCAGGCAGCCAGGGCCTTCTCTCTCAAGAGGCTAGAGAGAGCAGGGCTGGCACAACCCATTAGGCGACCTAGGCGGTCACCTAGGGCGCTACAGTTTGGGGGGCGGCGACCGCGGCGGTATTTTGGCGGCGGGACCTTCGGCTGCCTCTGTGGGGGGTGGCATTTCAGGGCAGGACCTTCCGCCACCTAGGACGGTAGAAAAGCTGGCGGCGCTCCTGAGAGAGAGAGTGTTTCAGTCTCTGCCCTCAGCCCTCTTATAGGGCCAGCTGTGGCCTGATTGGGACGTGGCACCAACTGTGGCTGCTTCCCCCAATCATTTCGCCACCACAGCCCTCTCCAGGGCTGCTTTAACCCTTTCAGGGCCAGAGCGGGGTGACCACCCCACTACAGGTACCTTACTTCTTGAGTAGTCCTATTGACTTCAGAGGGGTTCCTTTGGAAAATAAGGCACCACTCACTGCGAGTGATAGTCACCACAATCTAGCCCTAAATACACAAGGCGCACAAAAAGAGTGTGAGAAAGGAAGTGTTGACCTGTTTTACAGAGGAGGACGTGATACACAGAGAGGTTAAATAACTTGCTCAAGATCACACAGGAAGTCTGTGGAAGAGCTGTGTCTCAGTCCAGTGTAGTCTTGCCAGGTATCTGGTTTTTCACTGGAATGCCCGGTCGAAAACGGACCCTGGCTGCTCTGATCAGCATTGCTGACCAGGCCACTAAAAGTCCAGTTGGTGGCACAGCGGGGTTAAGGCAGGCTCCCTGCCTGCCCTGTCTCCATGCAGCTCTCAGAAGCAGCCAGCACATCCGGCTCCTAGGCTCAGGGGCGGCCATGGGGACTCCACATGCTGCCCTCGCCCTGAGTGCTGGCTCCACAGCTTCCATTGGCAGAGAATTGCGGCCAATGGGAGTTGCGGGGATGGCGCCTGTGGGGGTGGGTAGCGCACAGAGCCCACTGGCCCCTCTGCCTAGGAGATGGACATGCCGGCTACTTCTGGGAGCTGCCTGAGGTAAGTGCCGCCTGGCCAGAGCCCACACCCCGAATCCCCTGCCCCAGCTCTGAGCCCCTTCCCACACCCAAACTCTCTCCCAGAGCCCGAACCCCATCCCACACCCCAATCCCCTGCCCCAGCTCTGAGCCCCCTCCTGCACCCAAACTCCCTCCCGGAGCCTGCACCCCACACCCCCTGCCCCAGCCTGGAGCCCCCTCACACCCCAACCCCCTCATCCCCGGCCCCATCCCAGAGCCACAACCCCAGCCAAAGCCCGCACCCTCCCTGCACTCCAACCGCCTGCCCCAGCCCTGAGCCCCCTCCTTCATCCTGAACCCCTCATTTCTAGCCCCACCCCAGAGCCCGCACCCCCAGCCGGAGCTCTCACCCCCACCTCCTGCCCCAGCCAGGTGAAAGTGAGAAAGGGTGGGGGAAAGTGGGGAAGGGGTCTCTGAGAAAGGGCAGGGCAGGGGCGGGGCCTCTGGGAAGTGGTGGGGCAGGGGTTGGGGCAAGAGTGTTCAGTTTTGACTGATTAGAAAGTTGGCAACCTAGTCCAGTGCCTTAACCACAATACTATCTTTCCTCTCTACTCCATGCTACTGGGGAGAGAAGAATCACAGAGAACTCTCCTGTGTGCATGGGTTTTCCTATACAACCTTTATTTCCTTGTGCAGCAGCAATTCTGTTGTGTTGAGGACCTTCCAGGACCACAAAGAGGAAAGGAGACAACATTTGCCCTAGTATGTGCTACATATTCTTGAGTTCTAATCCTGACTCTGATATGATTCTTTCTGTGGTCTTGAGCAAATTACTTAACCTCTCCCTATTTTAGGCATCTGTAAAGTATAAGAATTATTTACCAACCTCAGGTGTTGGGAGGATTAATTAGTTCATGGTTGTATATAACCATGAAGATGAAAAGTGCTTTTTATGTTGTAACTGTATTAATTAATAATGTATGATTGCAGGTCTTGAATTGTAAATATTTTAACAGGAACTTTAACTTTTTATGCTTTATGAAATATCAGGCTTTACTATTTCTGCTTTACTGTGGTTTAAAATACATGCTTTTACAATGAATTCCAATGTCTATTTTAGCTCAGTACTTACATAATGTAATGAAGTTTACAATTCATATTTCAGATTTTATAGCAGTAGGTAGCAGATTCATTCGCTTCATCACCTAACCCTACAGCCCTATGCCATTAATTAGTCACTCAAGCAATACTGCGTAATACGATACAGTAGCAAGGCTCATTGGGGCTCTAACAAGAAAGGGTTTGCCAGCATTTCCATTAGAATCATTTCTTTCAAGAGTTTTTAATTTTGTTGTATGAGTTACCTTTACACTGAAACATGACCTTTCAGGTTTGCCCCAGAGCACTTTTTGGGCAATATGAATACACACAGAAGTCTCTTGGGTACTGTTTTGAGTTAATAAGCCTCATTTAAAAAAAAAGTAAAATTTGTTCAGAGGTTTTGTGTGCATTTAGAGCTCAAAAACTAATGTGTATATAGAAAGTGACCTG